TGATACTTATACATAATTAACATGTAAGCACTGTTTTGATGTTGTAGCCGGTCAAAATTGAGTGGATATACTTTACACACAGCTGCACACGTTAGTCTTTTGCAGTTTATAATTCATTACATCATATGATAAAGGGAAAAAACAAAAACATGAAGGATATTTAGTAAAGTGTTCACCATGTGCAGCCAGAACAGCTTCAATATACCTTGTCATTGATTTTCCAAATCTCAGGAAGTCAACTGAAGGGATAAATACAATTCTTCCAAAAGGTATTTCCTCATTTGGTGTTTTAATAATGGTTCTGGTGAGTGCTGTCTAACATGTTGGTATAAAATTATATTCAGCTGGGTACATATCTGGTGACTGTGAAGGCCAAAACATATAGTTCATTCTCATTAAACCATTCAGTGACCCCTTGTGTCCTTTGGATGGAGGCACTGTGATCCTGGAAGAGACCACTCCCATCAGGATAGAAATGTTTTAGTATAAGATAAAGGTGATCACTCAGAACAACTTGCTTTGCAGTGACTCTGTCCTCTGACGGGGGAACTGAGTCCAAACTATGTCAGCAAAATGCCCCCAGCACCCTAACAGAGCTGCCAGAGCCCCTCACTGTAGGGTTCAGGTTTTTACTTTCACTTGTCATCCATCTGTACTCTATAGTATCCTCATATGTTTCATATATAAATTCTGCAAACTAACTAGTACTTATAGCTGTCAGATAGATGCTGTAAATTGTCTAATATTTCACTCTGAAATGTAGAAGACTGTAAAGTATAGATTAAATACCAAAGTCCCATTGTCTCAAGTACAAAACAGAATTAAATGCACCTCCACCACTGGCATCGTCTATCGGTTTTTTCCTCTTTCTTTCATTGTCTGACAAAAAAAAAGCATAAAAAAATCAATATATTTGACAGAGTTGTCAGTTAATGTCCCTGGTGCTGACTATGCCCTATGACCAAAACTTTCAATTAACTTAGAGACTGAAGGCTTTCCCTCATTATGTAACAAATGCAATGTTGTGTTTGGTGCTCCATTTAGCTCCCACCTACATCAGAATCATTACAACACATAATTTGCCCCATTATCTATGAAGGGATTATTGCATAATATCAAACAGGAGTTTATCAAACAATAACAGTCAACCCAAATAACACATTTCCTTCTAATTGTGCCAATTTTCTTTCTTTCTTTTTGTTTGTTCTGCAGTCTTTTTGCTCATCTTTCTTTCCATCCCAGTGTGCCAGCAGTCCTGGAGAGCACTGTCTGTTTTTGTTCATTCCTTTTTCCACCTCAAGGATAAAAGCACTGACCACATCCCTCTTCCCTATTAGCCCTTGCACATCAGTGCTGCCTTTGAAGATTTAATCAGTCAGATTTCCTTGATTAATCCTTTTTCATGTCCTTTCACGGTAAATAATTACAGAGTCTGATATGATCGCTCGCTAGATAGCGAGGACAGCATGCAGATTTCTGATAGAGCGGAGTCCCCAGGTATCTTCATTAGCCTGATTATTCTGATCCAAACACACTCCATCAACCAGTTTACATGTAAATAGGTTAATTCTATTCCCACTCCTCACTCACTCTGCTGGCATGCTGTGTTTTACAGACGAGATCTCACCAAACGTCATCTGTTTTGTTCTGTCTCTGCCTCCACAGTCGTCACGCTGCAAATATGTGACACAATACTACAAATATTTTGTTTGCACAAGACTGTGAGGATTCCCAGATGACTGAATGTCTATTGCTCTTTATCTGTAGAAAAGCCAAGCAGTAAAGGATGGCTCCACTCTGTGTCTACAACAGTATTTTCAGAAGGCTCCAGTCAGACGCCACAGTCCCAGCAGGTTGTGTAATGTTGACACCTAGTGGCCAAATGCTCAGCTATCCTCCAACTGCTGATTTTATTTTAGCAAAACACTTCCACCACTTGATGGCAGTGCAACTCTTCCCTCTGCGTTTAAAGCGTCAGTTCTAAAAAAAAAAAAAAGCACCTCATGACAGCCAAAGCAGTGGGCATATGCAGCACAAGATGCTACTTTTTTTTCCTGAGCTCTTATGATTAAGATTCTTTAATCGGTGCATCAGGTGCTCTGTTGTTGCTGCGTAGCTGTATCATCCTGTTGTGCAACTCAAAAGATGAAGAGCTGCTGCACTGACTGCCCCTCTCCCCTCGGGATTAGTGAATTAATGCAACCATTCAGACACTGAGCTCTGATCAGCTGCTTAATACTGTTTTATCCCAAATAACACAAACCACCACACACGCATGATGTGTGTACTTTCACAGACACACAGACTGCACAAACATAAACGTGCCTGTATCTACTAAACCCAACAGAAATGTGCTCTATATATATATTATTGTTGAAAATAACATTCAGGTAGCAGGACGGTGGTGTCATGTGATTTCTTACTGTAAATATATGAAGAAAAAAGTCTTTTTGTGAGTCTGTGATTTCCTGTTAATTTCCCAGAACATTTCTCAGCAGAGTAAAAAATGAAACTGTGACACAGACTTGATTCAAACCCAAGTAAATATCTAATCAATTGCTTGTGTTTTAAAATGTTCAAAATGTGGGACATGGCTGTAGACAAATTTCCCAAATTTGTGTATTCAGTAAACTTGCAATTGAGCTCAATTACTTGAATTTTTAACGAGTGTCTCTTTTTATTCTTCACATAATAGTATCAAATTTTATATGTAAACTCATTTGAAACTGTTTGGAATTATTTAAAAATGACAGACCAGCGAAATAAGGCATTACCAAAATGTTCCGGATTTATCCATGAAAGTGCGTCATTGAGATTAAAAGTCTGACGGGTCAAGGGTCAAAGAGGATGAATGCAGTGCTTTCTTTTGTCGTGGGCGCAGAAGTGTCTCTTTTTTTTTTTCTTTTTTTCTTTCTTTTTTTTTTTTTCTTACAAAGACACTGGTCGATCAACGGTGTATCATTTATCATGTGGATAAATACGGATTACCCTGCATGCTCCGTGCCAAGTGTCCCGTCTGTGTCTCCGAGCAGAGAGACGTTCTGTTTTTGTTGTTTCTTCCCCTTTGCAAAGTTAGTAGTGCAGATGCATTATAAACACACATACAGGCTTATGCTAATCCTTGTGAAAACAAAGCAATATACAGTGCTTCTCTGAGCGCAGGTCAAGCGGGGGGCTGTTCATCAGCATGTTTATTGGGATTATGAGAGTTTCATCCATAATATAGCCTTCGACGTCATACTTACTGCTCTCCTCTCTAAATGGAGAGCTGAACACTGAGCTGAAATGTGCAGGAGGATGATCACTGATGTGATGATGCAACTGGTGACCAGGATTCTCTCAGACCATTCCCACCAGTGAGCCATGACCTAGTGTGACCTTGTGACCCTTTTAACTGACCTCTCAGTGGGTGGCCTTTACACTGACCAGCAAAGACTATGAATCAACAGAAGTGGCTGCTCTCAGATCAGATCTGTGTATTGTCTGTTTTTTACTTATTGATTTCCCATATGTCATTAGTTTTTACAAGCTCAGTGGTTCTCTGCTACTCACTGATCTTCAGATGCTTACAGTAACAGCATGAAGTCAGGCTTCTACAGCCCCATAGGTCTGGATGGTACAATCATATCTGTTCTTGAATGTCAGTGTGTGTAGGTTAGGGGGCAAAAGTATCGATGTGCAAACATGTATTTATTACATATGTGAGTGTTTAGCTGTGGTCTGAGTTAACGTCAGTGCTGGATTATGTCGACCCAGTGTCAGTGAAGAAGGAAGTCTGCACAGGCGGGCAGCCATGTTAATCATAAATCTTTATCTTACAATCCTGCCTCGCAGGTCCGCCCTTCATTAAAAGACGGCACAGGGATTAGTGCGGCTAAACCACTGAGATCTGGGGAGAAAAATGAGAAACACAGTGGC